CGGACTTCTATTGAGGATGTAAGTTAAATGTATCACGCTGGGCAGAATGTTCATTACGCGATATTCCGATTGGTTTATTTTCATCCCATTTTCTACCGCTCATTCCTCAATAGATGTAAGGTCCTTTCGAAGCTCATTTGAATCATATTATTTTCTAATAGACCACCAGATCTTTGCGTTGTCTGAATAAATCAATGTCAACATTCTTACTGGCAAAACCTCAGTTTTTGGCAAGATTCCACGAACACCTTGCTGAAGAATGCTATCTGTCAAAAAGCCTATATCAAGTAGGGTTTCCTACCTACTACAAATGTCTATCTAACGAAAATAATTATTAATAAATTTTCTGTTATTTTCATAATTCAAGATACATAGAATTATATGATCATGAGGTAGAAAGTAACTAATTTCTTTTTACACTGAAAATGATAATCATTAAGTTACATGTGAACTTGATCATCACTTTATTTCAGATGTACTAATAGTATAAGTAAGCATAATGAGACTATTTACTATCATAAAAAGCCATTAATGAAACACCTAGTCACGTTTATATTAACATCCAGTAAATAGTAGAAACTCAGATACTATGCTAAAATGCTCAAATATGATAATGATGAGACTTATTTCGTTCCTACCATGTGGATACCTTCAACACGTGTTAATTAATACCCATTAAGAAAATGTTAGAAATAGCTTTGAGAGAATTGACTCTTTTGTTTGCCTGTCAATTGTTGAAATAAATATCCTTGTTTTTTTTTTATATTTACGTCATTTATTTTTTTTCTTACACAGGAGTTGGAATAAACCCCACATTGTCATATCACAATCTAAAAGTACTTTAGTAGCCCACAATCTAACTCCAGTTTGTATGAAACGGTAGAGTATGCAATGAAATAAATCTTCCCTTCAGTTTTCATATATCATACTTAAGCGAACCCCATTTGTGTGACAGTGGTAATAAGAAGCCAAATACAGTTTTTTTCAGAGAAATTTATTTCATGCATTTATTTTTAAGCAGAGAGACGAGAATGAAAAACGTATGAGCTATTCGAAGCGCAGTGGAGAAGGTGAATGAGCCAACTCGATGTGATGAAACATAACTAACTGTTTATTATCAGACAAAAATAAGCTTAACATGTAAGTAAGCGCATGCACACACATTCACTAAAGCAAAAACAGCCAAGATTATAAGCTAATGGTTGACAAGGTCAAAAGGCATGTGAATAATGAATCGGGTAGAAAAAGTCAATTAGTTTGTCCGAAAGTGGGGACAAGCCAAAACATATTAGTACACGCACAACAGTTTCTTGTTCATTCAATCACTAAATCGTACATATTTTGGAACAATCTGTATCGTATAATAATTGATTGAAGGTGTGACTTTTGCTGTAATTTTTCTTTCAGCATGGGTGATTGCGCTACATGTGATGCGTTCGTAGAATGATCGAGTAATAATATTTCTATCCTAGAAAACTTTCCATCATTCATGGTTTTCTGTTAGAAAATCTTTATTGAAAGCTGTAAATAATGGAATTTTTGAGGTGAAAATAATAATAATACTAATAATCCCCACTTTATTCTCGTTGATTCTCAGGTGACTACTTCAGAATGAAAGTGGAGTTTATCACGTAAGTGCAGTGGGCATGGATAATACCCCTAACTCAGGTCTCGTTCCACTATTGAGAAAAAACCATTACCCGAAATGAGACAAAAGATAATAAGAGTGTTTGAGTCCATTTGCATCAAGCTGGACTGCATCTCTTGCTAGCGTATGCCATACTGTGTATACTATATGTCGTACTGCTATATAGAGCTGAAGGTTTCCTATGAAACCAGATGTTCTTTGTGAACATCGTGGATAAATTGGCATAACTTTGGCAAGCTTTGATGATAGTTCATATACAAATTTAGTTAGCAGGGTGACCGATTTCATCGATACAACTGGTGTTTGTTTTGTAACACTCCCGATGGCCATTGTCATTGGGGTGTTGTATTGCATATCACAATTGCTAATAATAATGAGTTTGACAGTCATATAAGTTGGATGAGTCGAATCGGCTTGTTCATGAGGTGCATATTGATTGATGCGATCATGAATCGGAAATAATCACTATACATGTACTAGTGTATATAAATGGTGTGAATGGTCCACCTTTAGGGTGTCAGGTACCTGTGCGGTTGCACCACGAGATTGAGCCGAACTGTTCACATTGAAACGGGAACACGTGGGCAGTCTCCTTGGTTCTCCTGGAAACCAATGTAAAATCATCTCTGTCAATTGAGGCAAAATTTATACAGTTGTGAAAATTGGGATACCTTTAACACGCGCTAATGCCCACTAAGAAAATGTTAGAATTAAATTTTGTCTGCTTATCAACTGTTTAAATAAATATTCCCCTTTTTTTCTAGAAATTCACTCAATTTTGTTATTTTATTTACAAAATTTCGTATACCTGTTTGACGTAAAAAACAAAACTACTGGTCACATTGTCATCAGTAAATTTTATATTAATTTATGCTTGATTTCAATTTGACTTTGTAAACTTGAATTCTCATTTCTAACAATTTATAAAATATAATGTAATAAATAAGTAACTTCATCATACTCCCTTTTGTGTTGTGTATAAACAAAATTATGGCCAATAAATATTTGCATCACCTAATATCTTAATTGTAGTAATATGACTGATTATAGATGTACACTTGTACGCAACATAAAAATAGATGATTATATATATGATAAACATTTTTGTGACCATATTTGTATTTACAGTTGATCGATCAATGATTAGTGACGAATTTGGTTGTTTGTATATTCTAGTTATTGATATTAAAGACAGTCTTTGGTATTATGTATGCATCCTGAATGAATTGCCATTTAGTCATAAGTTCTTATATTCAAGTTAGGTTAATGGCCGGTAGTAGAATTTCAGACGAGCGTTTCATCTTATCTTGAGCTCATTAGCTGAAACTATGTTGATGTTAAACATTAACAAGGAAAATATCGACAGACTGATCAATTATAGTCATGAACATCAATAACGAATACATACAAGCTCCTTAAACACAAGCTAGTGGATATCTGAACTTATTAGCTCATCACTTAACCTTTTGGCTTTTAAAATGAAAGGCATTACATCCCAATTCAACATGTGCATCAATACTGGGATATGAAAATCATGAAGAGTGCACACTCATACAGATATTAGCCTAACATTATCGATCAATTGTTTCATTTTGTTAACGTCGTAGCATTGTGTTAGGATATCATCAAACAACCAAAAGAAATTATTTTCTGAGTCTAATTCTATTGGTCAATATTTAAGGACGTCCTAAACTATCAACTTCACATACTTTCCAATGTTCTTTCCTATTGGTTAGTCATTCACGGTCGACCTAACTGTATTAAATATGCATTAGTTGTCAAGTTTTATGTTCCTTATCTTCTTCTTCTGTACAAAATCTCATATTTTCTAGATTCTATATCAAGATTTTTTAATACCGTTAGTGGTGAGGACTTGGGACACTCGGATTAGAGTAGCCTATCGTGTCACTGGATCATTCATTGTCTTCGCTCTCGTTTACCGTCTAAAGTGAACTCGTAATAGTTCAAAAGCATATCAATTGACAAGCATAACACATTCACAAGAACTGTGGGTAATTTATCTTAAAACTAATAAATGACAATTACAGCATTACGATTTGGATAAATGAGTTTTATGGTGATTTTTTTTCTAAAAATTTGAACATAGCTTGTAACGCACACAAACACTGAACGGTGTACAGACGAATTCAGTTTCGATAATTAGAAGGTATCATGCTTAATGTAAGAACAGACATCTTTGGAATCGATTACATGTGTTAAGATTGTCGGAATGCACCTTAGAAAACAAAGTTACAAACCAAGAAAAAGCCAAACAGTCTTCAATTGGTTTACATGTTGTTTTTTCTTAAATTGCTATCAAAATATGCATAAATGTTCAACAAAACCATCCCAATCACAGATAAAATGACGTAGTTTCATCTATCGATTAAACAATTATATTGACCGGGCTACTCAATTTGAAATTCAGTCGATAAAAAACTGATTACACTTTCACAAAAAGTTTGAGCAATACACTAATTCAACATTTCGTCATATTTCTAAGTTTAACTAGATATTATTACCAGTACTAAGAAAAACTATATATAAATTTACCCTCAATGCTGTCACTTATGGTGTAGGCGAGATATCCGTTTGCTAACCAAAGGACGAGTGTACTGCGCAGCAGTTCGCTCCGTCCTACTTTATGGCTGTAAAACATGGCCAGTAAGAGTAGAAGATATTCGTAGGTTACTGGTTTTCGATCACAGGTGTCTCCGAAGCATTGCTTGTTTATCTTCGATTATCGAGTTAACAATGCTGTTGTTAGGAAACAAGTCCTAGGTAAGGATAGCAGATCAATAGATGAAGTAATGAAACTTCATCAGTTGAGATAGTTTGGACATGTGTTGCGTAATGCCTAACCACCGACTGTCTCGACGAAATATGTTTTACGATGTAGGAATAAGTTGGAAGAAAGTTAGGGGCGGCCACGCCAAAACGTGGCACAAATCCATGAAATCACTGACATACGGACTGAGTCATGTTGGTAGATGTAGTCTAGCTGGTTACGGGACTGCCAGATGATAGTAATCGATGGTTAGAGACCTTGAATGACATAGCTCAAAATTGTTTGTAATGACGCAAGTGTTTCCACTCTTTGTGTTCTCTTAAGTTGTAATCTTCTGAATTCCTCATTACCTCTATCTTTCTCTGGAATCATATCTTCGAATCCTAATCTCTCTGGATCACTGCTAATACTTCTACTACCTCTACTACTACGGGATTTGAAATGACTTTCTTCGAATGCATTTTCATAAATAAACCATCAATAAATTATCTCGTATTACAATTGGGAGAAATTAAGCAACCCCAACAACCACAACAATAACAACGATAAAGAAAAGTACAAAAACAATCACTAAAACTATTTCTTTAATTGTGTAAACAACACTATACATATTTGTAATTACATTGTGTGTGTGTGTATGTGATAGAAATAAATAATTTACAAAAAAATAAAAGTGTATCCTGACAAGTCAATCAATCAGACATTGTATGTCAGATGTCTATGCGCGCGCACATACATCGATTCATCCATCATCTATTGTTCCTACAAATGTGATATTGATAACTCTAATAACAACACACCATGATACTTTCTTTACTTCTGACATACATTAATAAAACTGTTTTATACATAAAAGTTCCATTTCTCTAACCGGTATGTATGTATGTATGTTCAATAAGTGATAAAATGGAAGTCTTTCTTGTTGAATTACACTACACAAAAAGGTCGTCACCATAAGAGTATATATATATATAAACTCGCCATCACTCTCTCTATCTCTCTCTCTCTCTCTCTGTCTCTTGTTCCATAGATAATCAAGTTTGAGAAAAACAATGTGTCTACAAATAGACTAGAATAAGTAAACACACACACAAAAAAAGAACAAACTAAGATAATACGGCTGTAGTTGAATCCATGTAATTAGTAGTAGTTGTAGTAGTAGTAGTAGCAGTAGCAGCAGTAGGATTAGTCGATGATGATTCTGAAGTATGACGATCAGTGAAGAAATAAGAATTCAATTTTTTCCCATTTACTAGTTTTTTCTTTTTTGTTGTAGTAGACGACGATGTTGTAATTAATTTTGATGTATTCAATAAATCTGCATCGGAATCAATTTTGTTTGTTTTACAATAATCAACAGTTGTTGTAGTATGATTAACATTATTACTGTTATCATATACTATAGGACGAATACCAACAGGTAAGCCTACATGACATAATTGTAATGCAGCTTTATGCAATTTTGTCATAAATTCTTCAATAGCTGAAAAAAATGAATTTTTTCAATAAAGAATTAATTTTGTTTTTAGAAAATATTTTATTTTAATCAAAGCTTTAATGATAAACGATTTAATATAATAGAAGAGATATTTTTTTGCTAGAAAGTTCAAGTATTTTGTATATTCACATGGCTTTGACTGACACCTTCAAGAGATAAGTTTAGATTTTATATTAGAGATGTTGTAGTTATTATTGTTGAATATTTTTTTTTCTTTAACCTAAAGAGATTTTGTGAGCCATTATTATAACTTACTTACTACAGTCGATAAGCTATCATATTGGATAAGGGAAATGATCGACAGGTTCGGCTAACTACCTTAATCCTCCTAATAGTTCGATTAAGTATTGATACAGACTAGTTGGAATGTGACAAGCTGCATTTGAAAGGGGAAAATAATGAATTTGAAAAAGTTTTGTACTATTGTGGTGCGCGCTACTTATAAGTAGTATATGATGCGTGTGTAAACGTAATATGTGGCAGCAGAAGATGGGGGACGATCAAGAAAAGAAGGGTGGGAACACAATGGAATTTGTATGAAACGCATGAATAGTGAAATGTCAGACAATGGATTGATGATGAATTAGATTGAAGATTTGCAAATTAACGATTTACGATATGGTTTTCCTATTTTACTGAGTAACTGTAATTTTCGCTAAATACAATTTGGTTGTCCTCACCTGTGTTCTCCTTCACTACATTTGATGTCGCTGCCGGGATTAAGATACCGTGGCCGAAGGAGTCCGAGGATGGAGATGTGGTGGCCTTCCTGGAGGAGTTCGAGGCCGTGGCGGAGCTAGCCGGATGGAAGCAGGAGAAGACGGTGGCTTTGGGATTGCTGCTCCTCGGCCGAGCGAAGGCGGTGTATGACAGCCTGAATGGCAAGGTGAGGACATGGAAGACGCTCACGGACCGGCTTGTCGCGGAGTTTGACAACTCAGTGGATAGGCAGGAGGCGCTTCAGAAATTCAGGACGGTGAAGTTATCGGCGGATGGAGACCCACTTAGGCTGGCAGTCGAGTTGACCAAGCTGTTACATCGCGCGCTGCCGAGTTTGGATGAGGAATCTGAAGCTCAGCTGTTGGCATCGCAGTTCATCGAGTGTTCCGGACGCCATTTCCCAGCAGCTGAAGTTGGTCAACGCCGTGCATCCAATGCATATAAATGAATTGGCGAAAGTGACTCGACAGCTAATGACGCAAACAGCAGCTTCGGTGGCGTACGCGAGTCCGGAGGAAGATGATCTCGAGAAGAAAATTGATGAGCTGCAGCGTGAGATTGCCGCAATGAGTAACTGGCGGCAGGAATAATAAATGTTACGCTTGTGGAGGGACAGGACATTGGAGGAGAAACTGTCCCACAAGACGAAGATACAAGTATGTGAAAAGGTATAATTCGGGTTTTTTCTGTTCGGGGAATCTGGGGGTTGTCGCGTTAGTCGATAGAGGAGCGCTTTACGCCAGAGTAAGCATTAACGAACGCGAGTTAGTATGTCTGATTGATACAGGGGCAGCAATATCGTTGATAAGCAGAGAGCTATGTCAGAGAGTCGTGCCATGTACATTGACAGTTCAAACCGTAGGGGGACACCGGTTACAGGTTCTGGGCACGTCTAACAGTAACGTAAAGGTAGAAAGTGCGGAAATAAGTTTCCAGTTTGTAGTGACAAACAGTTTACCGAGACCAATATTAGGAGCAGATTTCCTGAGAGAAGTAAAAGCGATAATCGACTTACGGAATGGTAAGATGATCACTAAGTACGGAGCATTCCCGATACATGAGAGTAGTGAAGTGGCAGAGTTAAGGGTAGCACCAGACAGGTCGGAAAAGAAACCAAATATTCACGAGTTGTGTGCAAAGTACGGGAAACTGTTCACGGGAGACGGAGAACCGTACGGATTTTGCAATAAAGTAAAGCACGAAATTACACTAAAGAACGAGCAAGTAACCATATTTACAACACGTCGGGTGCCTGTACAAGAGATGTCGAAAGAGGGCATAATTGAACAAGCAGACAGCCCATATAGCTTGCCAGTGCTCTTGGTGAAGAAGCCGAACGGAAAATACAGATTTTGTGCAGACTTCAGAGAACTTAATAACATCACTGAACGAAAACCATATCGTAAACGGTTAATTCGCGAACCTTCAATCCAATTCATCATCTCCATTGTCTGACATTTCACTATTCATGCGTTTCATACAAATTCCATTGTGTTCCCACCCTTCTTTTCTTGATCGTCCCCCATCTTCTGCTGCCACATATTACGTTTACACAAGCATCATATACTACTTATAAGTAGCGCGCACTACACTATCATTAAAAACATTTTAAAAGTTCTGGACTTCGTTAATCTCTTCACAACAAACAGGACCATGCTCCCTGTCTACGCTAAAACATTGAGAGTATCTTTGTGTACATTAATCTTAGAAAATGTTAGACAATAGATATATCACTTCCAATAGGATACCTATGATAAGGTCAGCAGGTTTGTTTGGTCTTGTAGAAAGACGCACTGTCACAAGTATTACCGACCAACAAAGATAGATTATCACCAGTGAGACAACTGTCACACGTCAGGTGCATCCACTCTTTGTGTTCTCTCAAATTCTAATCTTCAGAATTCCTCATCACCTCTAATGCTATCTCACTGAACTATACTTCTTGAATAATAATCTTCGATCACTAATATTCTCCATTACCGCTAATTCTTCTACTATCTCCACCACTATAAGATTTGAAATGACGGTGGCGTCTCTGTGCTAATACAGTATGGCAACCTGAACTGACATATGTACGTACGAAGTTCTACGTTGTAATTGACTGACTGACTGACTGACTCAGTAAGATAAGAATTCTAGAAAGTCCGAAAAATTGGATCTGTGTATTCACAACCACATAGATCATAAAATCTGTACAACTAACTATTTCAGGAGCTTATTAATTAAGCTAATATTTTAGACATTACACATTAGTCAAACTGATCCGTTTACAATTACTATAAAAGGACCATTCGTTACAACTAGTCAAATAGATTCCGTTAAGTCAACCATTCTAAGTACTGTTTTACCATCATTCATATGTCTATTTTCTTCTAAGATCTTCCGGTTTCATGGATACAGATAATATATATATATATATATATATATATATATATATATATATATATGAAGTAAAATAGACAAATAGACTTACCTCGAACAGAAAATAATTTGATCGGTGAGCCATTAATTGGAAGACATGGATCGTCAAAATAAATTAAATAGTAATTAAGTCCATTCTATGGAAATTTTGTTTTGTTTTAAAAAAAAGAAAAACAAAGTGAAACAACTCACAAGAAATTATTGAAAAAGCATATTCACTTCATAGTTATTTTTTTACAATTAATCGTATAACAACAACATAACATCATGAGTATTTAGTTAGTTAGATATCTGAAGTACATTTCATCTTGACTGTCGGATTAATATGAATTGACTTATCTAAAGTCGAGCAGTAGTTTAAGAGTTAAAGCACTTCACTTCTAACCCGTAGGTTCCAAGTTCGGAACCTACCTCTGTATACCTAAGTTTCAGAGATTCGGTAGTATCAATCAGCTTCACATGAACTGAATTGTGAATGAAAACCAAAAAAAACAGACCTGTACTTGGCGGACGAGTTATATATATATTGCTTCAAGTGGTGTCCGTCGGGGTGTAGTGAAGGAGAACACAGGTGGGACAACCGAACTGTATTTAACGGAAATTACAGAGTTACTAAGTAAAATCGGAAAACCATATCGTAAATCGTTCATTTGCAAATTATCAGTTCATCACATCAAACTGGACTGTTCCTGTTGCAAAACATCAATCCATTGTCACTGTTCATGCGTTTCATACAAATTCCATTGTTTTCTAACTCTTTCTTTCTTGATCTTCCCCCATATTATGCTGCCAGACATTATGTTGACACTCACATCATATACTACTTATAAGTAGCTCACACCACAGGGGATGTCTACTTTCTCCATTGTTGTTCAATTTTTTCATAGACATGCTGCTAGATATAACATTATCTCCGTCTGATTTCTCAGGGGTGGACCTCCTACCAGAAGACTCATTTGTTGACTTAGAGTATGCCGATGACATAGTTCTATTCGGTGAAGACGCTGACAAAATGCAGTGTCTCTTGACTATCCCAAGCAACAATGCAAGCATGTTCGGGATGCGGTTTTCCCATCGAAATGCGGAATGTTGCTTCAGGATTGGTTTATATCGGTACCTGAACTAGTGATAGGGAGCGAAGCAGTTGAACTTGTTGACCGCTTTACTTATCTGGGGAGTCTCATTAGTGCTGATGGCCTGGTTTGTGGAGAAATCTCATCGCGGATACAGAAGGGTTTTTGCCAAGATGCGTCACCTATGGAGCAGGCGAGATATCCGTTTGCTAAGCAAAGGACGTGTACTGTGCAGCAGTTCGGTCCACCCCCCCATATGGATGCGAAACATGGCCGGTAAGAGTAGAGGACATTCGTAGGTAGCTTGTCTTCGATCATAGGTGTCTCCAAAGCATTGCTGGTGTATCGTGGGACAACCGAGTAAGCACTGCTATCGTTAGGAAACGAGTTCTAGGTAAGGATGGCAGATCAATAGATAAAATAATGAAACCTCATCAGTTGAGATGTTTGAGACATGTGTTAGGTATGCCCAACCACTGACTTCCTCGACGAAATATGTTTTGTGTTGTAGGTGTAGGTTGGAAGAAAGTTCGGGGCGGCCACGCCAAAACGTGGCACAAATCCATAAAGTCACTGACAAGTGGACTGAGTCATGTTGGTAGATGTAGGCTACCTGGTTGGGGTCCGCCAGATGATGGTAATCGATGGTTAGAGACCTTGAATGACATGGCTCAAAAGCGTTTGCAGTAGCAGGTGCATTCACTCTTTGTGTTCTCTCAAATCCTTACCTTCTGAATTCCTCATCACTTTATCTTTTTCTGTTTAAGTGAATTTCATTAGATTATGCTTCTTCAATAAAATCGTCGAACACTAATCTATCCGATTACTGATAATATTTTTACTACCTCTACTACTATGGAATTTGAATTGACAATTGCGTCTCTGTGCTAATGTGGTATAACAACTTGAACTAATGTACGTACGTACGTAAGAAGTTCTAAGTCGTAGCTGACATATATATATATATATATATATATATTACAAGTAGCGAAATTATACGTACTTGGTTGAAATCCCCATGCGATTCAATTAACATCTCAGAATGATATTCGTAAACTTGAACAAGGTCACGTTTCCTTATGTTTTCCCATGAAGACTTTACTGAAGAAGCTTCAGAAGACTGAATGCATTTTTCTTTGAAATCTGCCGAACATCGAGAAATTACATAGGCATAGCGTCTAGTAGATGTGTTGTTCTTAGGTATACTGGTTTGAGATAAAATAATCGATTCTGGAGGACTATCTTTAGGAGTTGTAAGTGACTTCTCGACACTCATTGAAGACTCAGTAGGTTGAACCCACCAACGTCGCACGTAAATATATTCTCGATTGACCATAGGAAATGGAAAACGTACAACCCAACGAATTATATCAAAATCTTTGATATGTGTATTATTATTCGGTGTAATACTATGCAATTCTACAATCTTATCATCCCATTTTTGTCGATAATCCAAATTGAGTTGTACTTCCAAAAATGATGAAGCTGATATATCACAAAATTGTCCACAAACTATCAAACAAGTATAAATAGATTAAATACTACAAATGAATTTTCAAAAATCCAAAGCTTTATACGAGAAAATGTCAAATTCACACGTAAGAAGTACATCAGTTTTGAGTGCACACACACATGCATTGGACAGCATAGAGCACGAATAAGTTTTAAGCAGATAAATCCATCAGAAAACATATAGCGTAGTAATTCTAGGCATAAATTACTAAGTTATGGGTGTGTGAACTGACAAAACAGCTATTATTAATATCGGTCAAGAAAAACACAAGACATACACTAACGTTATGAAATGTATAATTCAAGCTTTCCGTACAGTGCGTTTTAAGGATTACAAAACAAAATGTAAAGTCGCATAGATGAATTTTTCATTTACTACTTAAGTTATACTGAAAAGATTGAAACAGAGCTTAGAAAATAATGACTGTTTAAAGATGTGTATTCATTTAGTTCATTAAATCTTATACTTTATATGTATGACGTTAGTGACTGAAAACATTAAAGCTCTCAACTATAGATGGTTGATACTACTTTTATAGTGAAAAACATTTCCGATTTAGGCACTTTTATTGAGATTCATATGTTGTGATACACTGTGTATGATAGTGCCTTAATTATATAATCACGTGAGTTATGTATCTGAATGATGAAACAGTATACATCTTACGCCATTACCCTACTATTTTTTTCATGTTCTAGTTGAAAGTTATAAAAAGTAAGAACATGCATATCTTATAAATCGTATAAAGAGTCATGGTCAACGAGCTTGAACAATTCACTCTGTACCTCGTTCACGAGTTGATATCAACCAGTTCTGAGAGAATATTTTGCTTTTAGAAAGAGGAAAACCCATCATGAATAGACATAAATTGTTACTCAAGGCATTTAATAGATTATGTATTTTGTTAACTTTATAACCACATTGAACCATACTATCTGTCTATTTCAAGTCGATAAGCGAATCTCCTGGTAGATCAATAACAGAAGTTAAAAAAAAAGAGTTTGGTTTCTGAAAAAAAACTATGATAAATGAATAAAGTGGATAGTTGTAACGAACACCACTTTAGGTTACCAAATCTGATGACCGTTTACCGTAAGCTCCAACATGACCATCGGCATTCAAGTGAACAGTCATTATTGTGGTGGTGTTTCGTTCTTTGAGCTCAAAGAACGAAACACCACCACAATCATCCACCTGAGCTACAATTTTTCTCCACCATCTCAAGAACAGTCATTATGTTTACATAGTTTTGGGACCTTCTGGTATTTACTTGAAGCATACCACTAATCTCAGTAAGCAAAACAATAATAGTTAACCAGTCAAATACTACTCTAAGACAAGTAAGACATTCAAAACCTCTTACCTCGGTATTCGTACTTCGTATTCGACTTTGAAGGGTTAAGTCCATTATTGACTTCAGATACCATTAGTGGTCTACGCCAAACGTGCATATTTTTCCGGTCATAGACAAGTTCCCATGACTCATCAACAAAACCCGTACCATCTGGTTGAATATTTAAATCCGTAAACAAGGATAAAAGAGATGCAGTAGAGCGATCTTCGCTTGAAGTTTCATTTACAGGAGAATCTGCATCACCAGCAGATATACAAGCATCATTGATAAGAGCTGGCTTTAAAGTAGGTCGTGAAAATGTCGATATTCGCTTCAAATATGTTTCACGTAACTCCCGTATCATTAAAGTCAATGGTGGATCCCATGATTCAAAGAGCTCATTTTGTGTACAATCTTCGACAACCAATGAATGAGAATCCTCTACTCTAGCTTCATTTTCCACAACAAATGGGCTACTTTTGTTCGAATTATTTGAGTTGCCATTTATCGAAAAACTTTTTAAGGTACTAAAATAAAATAGGAATGAGGATAATCATTATCTTCACTTACATCAGAACCTCTTCATCTGTAATTTTATCTTGAGCAAATGAAATTAAAGACCCTCCAAGTAAGACTTTTTGAGTTACAAACAATCGAGAATCTGTTTTTACGTTTGAGCGTAAGCTAAAATATTTGTCACGTAGGCGACGAACGATTAATATTCCTGAGTGACGACACAAAAACAGATTAGTTAATAGTGTCCGATGAGTGGAAAACAGGAATCTTGAGAATGTGGAATCAGGTTGACATGCTTTTTCTATTTGCGATGACAAATGCAGAACAAAGGAATTGAGCTGAGCGGAGACAGGAGATTGTAAAACATGTCTCTACAATTCAAAATTAGATAAATTATCTTCTATAAAAAGCTAGTTACTGAACAGTATGCTTATTATGAATAAAATTGAACAATTTATAGACTATACAAAGAAATAAAAGATAAATGGCTTAGTATTCGATACTTTACCATCTAGTGAGATTTGAGCAACTCAAGAACATCATCTGCCACCGGACAAAAAATGCAGGACCTAAACCAAGGTCCATAAATATGTACTCAGTAAACCAAATGCACCATTACAAAGTAAAATCAGTAATCGTCTTTCAGTTTCCAAGAAGATCTCACACTAAGATTACAAAGAATCTGTAAACAACTTTTTCAAAATGATCATGTTACAGTAGGTATCTTTCAAAATAATGACTAGTCTCTCAGAATATTTTCTTTTAAATAAATTATAGGCGAACAAGAAACTTCGAACTATGATCAGAATTTTTCGACTTAGTGCAAATACAATTTATGACGAAAATTAATATCGTTTAGAAATGAATGGTAAGACCTACAGGAACATATGTTCCAGCCAATATAGCTCAGTTAGGTCATCACGATAGGCAAGCCCGACCACCACGTCAAGGTAGCAGCTACGGTTGGGGAAATGAAATGAATGTACTACAAACTTTAGACATATTTTCAAATCATTTTACGGATTCATAAATTACAAATACTGAGATTGATATATGACTGGTAAATCTGTATTGCTAGTTCTACTGGGGTGCTCTCTAACCAAGTTTCTATTACGAAATTACTTATTCATTCTAACATGTTAATACTGATACAAAGAGAAACTAAGATATATACGCAACATACAAACTAATGAATTTATGAATGGGCTTGGATACTGCTTGTACACCCCAACCGAAGCATGTGGTTTTTTGAAGGGGTCAGTCCCCAAGCCTTAGGCCCAAGTTATGAATCCACAAGGCGGTGAAGCAAGGTTAAGATATGCAGTTCCATGATAGTCGGAGACCAACAATAGATTCGTATGCCAATGTTTTTCTTAAGGTCAAGAAGATGATGTGTACCACACGTAAGGAATCAAGTTTTCCCAACTCTACTGAGTGTATCTTTCATAACCATGAAGTATACGTCCACGTTATAGCTTTGATTTGTAAATATTGATGAAAGTACTGACAAGAGGAATCAGTCAGCAACTGTCTTGAGAAATAACGATCCAATCGACTTCGAACACAGCCAAAATATTGCTAATTACACAAAACCGCCTTACGAGGACGCCCATATGTCTTCCACATAGGGTTCACAAGCCGCGCCTGTTCATCTGTTTTAGAATTCCCGCTTGGTTTCGGATGGTACATCTAAATGTCTAAATAACTTTATTTTGTATTATTCTATGGTTCCGTCATTTATTCACTTGCACTTTAAAACTAATGAAAGAGAACGTACAACTGATGGGCACATTTGATAAAAGACTGATTTTTATATTAGGTGAGGTGACTTTGCTAATACGTAATTATTACATTAAAAGGATTCTTTTTCTAATGTACTTTAAGTTCTTTTAGTAAAAGGTTCGGGTTTTGTCGAAATTGACTTTTAACTACTTTAACTTTAGCTGATTCTCGTGACGGACCAAAAGTAACATGAAAATTTCTCAAAACGTTAGTACTTCAAAAGCTATGTAAACAAGTGAGTTATTGGAACATAAAATAAATACATATAATATCTAGAAGTTGCTCGCTGACGTAAGAAGAGAAAGTTCATGAGTTCAAATATATATATTCACAACCATGATTATGTGCGGTAAATAATTCCAAGAAAGAACATGTTTAAATCGCAGCTCTTCATATGTTATCGACAGGTAATATTTTGCATTACCTGAGCTAAAAATGTGCATGACAGGATTCTTAGTAAACAACAAAACCCAACAAGTTAATAATGGGATTCGTAAGCGAACATATGTATTTAATGAACGGTAAGCGATTTATCGTGCTCCAAGTAAAACAACTCTGGGTAAATAGAGGCGAACTTTGGGAAACATTCTTCGGTAAACATGGTGTGGACACAGGTGACAATATATCGAATCGTTAACTTTTTATTGAACCAAGGGAAAATAGTGGGACTTATCTGCATCGTTTTCCCTCATAAATCAAATGTCTCAAAATTAACCTTCCTCTAAATGTCCACCGTTCCCCAAAATGAACATCTTCTGCTAGATGAACACGTACAACAGTAAACTCCTCATAAAACTGAACAGAATAATATACTTAGGAAGTTCTCTGATATTTCCCCACGTCAAACAATTTATCTGTACAACCAACATGAATGAGCAAACGATTAACTGGAGAACAATTTAATGAAACTATTTGGACAGATGGTTTTCATTTATTTATAAAAACAATAACTGTAGCAATTAGAGCATCCTTATCGACAAAAAGGGTTTTCATGGGCGAAATTCTCAAAACGTAAAGAAAACTCTGCTCAGGGTGTTGTTTTCAGATGCTAATTAGAAAACGTTTGCCAAATAGAGTTGAATTTACGGCTATGTTGCCAAGATCAGAAGACTGCATCTGGAAGTATGGATGGTCCAGCGTGTTTTTATTTACACCATCGTCCGCTTCATACTTTTAGATAATTTAGTGAAAGCAGCCGACAGTTCTGTAATGTTCTGGTTAATACTTGACAATCTATGATGCTAAAGACAGTTTAAAATTGATCTTACACAATATGGCACTGTAATTGGGTGTAGAAGCAGTAGTTGATTGCAGCAAATCGAGTTTGGTTGACGTTGGTATTTCTTTTTCTAAAGGCAAGGTGTTTGGACCCTGAGAATTCCCGTAATCAATAGTTGACAAAAACTATTCAGGTCCTAAATGGGTTCAATGGAACTGCGACATAAATGAGGATGAGGTAAGAAATAAGCTGAAGCCGCTCATTTTCAGAAGTTGAGATAAAATGGTTTAGGAAAAACATTTTGAAGCATTCCCTTTTCTGACTACTTGTGATCTTTTCATTACTTCAAAGTTGATATTCCGTGGTTCGGACAGTGTTCATTTTCCTTCTTCATAAAGTACCTTCCACAACGTTGAGGTGTCCTTCATTGAGCTATGATGCCCAAGTCTATCATATGCTTTAATTTTCTTTTAGAGATCTTCAGCTTATTTGGTGATAACCCAGTGATTACTCACAAATTAGTTGGGCCACGATAGTTGCCTAGTGTTTCATGTAGTCGCTTAGACAATCGACCTTAGTAAGACTATCGTACCCAGACAGGATAACAGTGAAAATATTATTTCTCGGTTTCGCAGCGGGAATACCGTAAATATTACTGTTGACAGCTGCACAGTCTACCTGCAGGTCAGTGTTTCCATCCATAAGTTTGTAATGGAACGCTTCTACGAAGAAAATGCGATTTTTGAAATGTAAACATTATTGTACCCGCTTTGTTTAACTGTACCAAAAACACTTCTACTACTTCTTGTGCGCAGCGTTCTCTCAGCGTTGCCGCCATGTTTCTCTATTTGCTGCTCCCTATGTAATGCCAACGTTCTCCTTTAATAAAACCATGGAGTATTAATTTATTTTGTTCTGCTTTTCGTATGGAACATTTAGTGGTGGGCATAGTCAATCTGGTATCTGGATGCGCTCACTAAAAGTTTATGTTCATTCATATCTAACAGTAAGTTTTCAGCACTCAGGAAATCAGTTCCAATGTCAGATTGTTTTATGTGCACTACAATGAAAACCCATGAAAACCGCCGATGGAGCTTTAAACCTAGCATTAGCAGCTGTTCTCGGTATACTAGTATAACAGTTTTTTACCACTTGGAATGACAAATTTATGTTTGATGTCTTCTGCCGTCGTGATAAGGCCAGTGGAACAATGCTGATTTTTGTTACATTGTCTACTAAAAAATTCGATCCAGAGGTATAGCCCGTGGAGTACAGAAGACGGCCTTTAAGGTGGCCAGAAGCAATCACCGCTATTACTGGCTGATCGGTCCGCTTCTTGAAATGTGCTGATCTTCCGACGGGAAACCGCATAGTCTGGTATACTTCCGTGTCTTGCTGAGATAATTCCTTCTCTATTATTAGATGCATTCTGTTAGTTTAGAATATCTGGACCGGTCTGTCCAAGATCTGTGAAGTAATCTCTTTCAGGAAAGAGATAGCGTTTTTCCTGCATAAATTTTAGTTTCTGCTGATTCAGTTAGAGAAACTAGTTGGTTAGATCTGAAATCTGTTATTTCAAAGCTGTCATTTCTGCACTGCTCGTCAAAGCTGTTGTTTTTACAACTCTTACTCCATAACCATCGGGTCTGACATCCATCATTCGATCAGTGATACCGGCTAGTATTTCCAGAGTGCTCGTCCTGCCTGATTGTAGAATCCTTTTTGAATGCTTTGTGTTTTGGAAAATCCCTCCATGTTTACATATTTTTGTTATGATATGACGGACTTTTTCTGTTGACATTTTTGGTATTTTATTTGATTCCAATTTGAGATTTTATCATTGTATATTGTTATTCTTTCTATATATTTGTACTTACATTGAAGTTTTTGTGTTTGCTTCTGATCTGTATATATGTTGTTTAAATTTGATCTTTAATATGGCTACAGCCATATTTGGATTGATGCAGTGGCCGCTGGACTGAGCGTCACTTATCTAACACTGTTTCTGATACTCTTCGGAGTAATTGTATCCTGGAAGAGGCACTATTTCCAGGTAATGCTTTGTATTTCCATGTTTTATTTAAATAAGACGCTTTCTCCTAGAATTTTTGTCCTTTTTGATTTGGTCGGGACCCGGGACTGGGAGAATCGTACAGGAGTGCCCCTATTGGAACCCATTGGAACGGCCACTGTAGAAATTCATTTACACTGATAACCCCAAGATTTATCGCTACTGACACGGAAACCTCCGTTACTATATTTGTCTCATACCCTTCTCGTCTACTTTATATGTTCCAAACAACTGCTGCATATATCACGAAACCGGGGGTGGTTTCCCGTCATCGAGATCACAAACAATCAATGATTGCTGTAGTGTTTTCTCATCTGAGACTGACATGCGCTAAATTACAAAGACTTTTAGTTTATTGCATAGTGCATCCTCTGGCACTAAGTCGGTGAGGTGGTCAAATTCAGACGCAATTTTTAAAGGCAAAGTGCTCATTACACGTGAATATTTGATTACCTTTGAGCGTGTTTTGAAGCAGAAATAGGTGTTTCAGGGTATAAAAGAGAATTTCAAGGTCACTTACACCGTTTGGAGGTACATTTAAGTCCACTATGTCAGAAATCGTTTTGGCATTAGATTTATATTTTATGAGAAAATTAACAGCGGCAGTCTCCATATCCTTGTATTGGGTTGAATTCATTACATGTGAGAAAAAGCATAATATGTGAAAAAATACACAACACCTAATAATAATATAAATGAACGAGGTAAACACTGACCCATAAAATAAGAGTCTCATTACTTTCCCGTGGCTGGAGAGAAAGACGAAAAAATAATAACAGGATGTATAAGCGAAAACTTGTATTTAGTAAATGATAAGTGCTGTATTATACGAATAATGAACAGGAATAAAGGTAACAGACCCTAAACAACTTCTCACCCAGTGAACGGAATTGAGAAATATTACAAATCTTAACAAAAAAGTGTACAAATTGAATTTATTTCAGCCATCACCATATTGGTTAGAATCCTGATGACAAAAATCATGATAAAAATGGCTTCCTGTGGTATAGGGTTGTAAGCGCAACAAATATTCTATCAAACAAAAGATCACTGACCACCATTCGGAAGTGAACAGTTCAGAAATCGATATCTCATCCACGGCCATTATTTCCACAGCAAATTACTATCCAACTCAAACTGTAGATTATGCAATTAGTAGATGGAAGAGATGTGCTAAAACAAACAAAACGTGGTAATTTTTAATGCTAGAAAACATGTAGCTCAAGTTTTTAAACATCCTACCAGATAACTCGACGGAAGTTCATATAAAAAACTGATAACAGTGGAAAGTAGGACAAAATCAATTATTGAACTTCATCCAGTAGACTCCTAAAGGTTAGCGCACGGTCGTTAGAACAACGAAATCTCCGATAAACTAGTGCTGGACAAGGACAGAAATGCTTTACTGGTTAAGTATGTGACCCAGCATCTAGGAGAAAAGTGGTTTGAGAACGTAAGGATGCCGGACTTTTGTTTGCGAAACACGTCTATATGTAATGTTCATTGATTCCAAATTACTAGGAGATAAAATAGATATATGTACTTACATGTGGGTTTAGCTGAAATTTGTAATTTATAATGCTTCTTAGGCTTGTATATGTAATTGGCAAATAACAATTAATGTATCCACTAATCTATCAGAAGTTTTAGATCAACGACCAAAATAGATATGACCGAAGTTTACGTACATCAAAAAGACTCACCGGTATATAAGCATATTTTTTACCCTATTGATACATTTACATCAAAGGCTAGCAACGGGGCCATAGTAAGTCCTTGTGCAGGTCTTGTTCAGCTGCTTAGTGGGGTGGAGAGGTTAAAACAAATTCAATATCCAACATCTTTTCCACGAGCTTGTATAAACTGATAAGTCTTTTTGCTTTCGATTCTTGTTATTTCAGTACTGTTCCAGGTATTTGGTTGTGTCCATTGGTCAGTAGTTTAGACACTCAACTGTACTAATTCGTCATTTGGCAGTTGTTTGTGAATGTGTATGTTCTGTGATTTGAATGAGTGCACTTGTTTCAAAGTAGTAGGGATTCCGGATATGAGCAGCTGTCACATTACCAGGTCGGAGAATAACAAAGAGTAAATTCTAATTTCAATAGGAAAAGGAAAAATTTCGAACTATGTATATAATTAATTAATCAATCTAGCAACAGTATAAGGGAGGGAAAAGAAATCGAGATAATAAGCAAGGTGAGTTAAGTTAATGATCTGAGGAAATAACGATAATAATAACTAGCAAGTTTCCAGACACGCTACAGATACAACTGGTCCACGAGAGAGATGGTAATCCGTTTATGAGTACGTGCTTATCGAGGTTCCTCTTGAAGCTATCCACTAAGAGAGCTGTGGTCACTTCAACAGGGATAGCATTCCAAGTTGGGACGAAGACTAATGAGAAGAAGTGGGAGTGTAACTGAGTGTTTGTTATTTGACGTGCAATTTCTCGAGGGTTACCTCGACGGTCGTGGCGTCGGTATTTTGACAAGATCAACATGTTAGGATGGTTTGGAACATTTGATTTGTTATATGCCATCGTCAGATAACCTCTGATCCTCCTGTAACTCAGCTGCAGTAATCCTGTGTTGGAGCCAGTTTCGACTGATTTATTCCTTAAGCCAGTCGGCAATCAAGTTGTTTGTCCGTGCACTCGACTCAGCAGATTTATGTTCTTTGAAGGAGAGAGGATGCGACGACTTTGTGGACCTTAAGGTGTGGGTGTGCGTCTATCTTAAAGAGAGTTAAGGCCAAGTTGCCTTCGCACAAAGTGAAGAACTGTGTTAGCCTTGACTACGTCCGCTATGTAGTTTGAACTAGGTTCGGGCTTTCCTTGGTTATTAGATCGAGGTCAGCCCTGAGCGGACATTGGGGGCTGAGATCCGTTAAGGACAATTACTGAGTGTAGATACTGTTGTCGATTGAGTTATTGAGTTTGTGGATGTTTAAAGTGTGTAGGTCCTTAAGAGTCTGTAAAACCCGCTATTAACAGCCAGTAACTCATTCAAATACTAGTCGGGCCTAAAGTAACTTAACACTGGTGATCGGACGAGAACCGGTAGCTGAGAATTACTGAAATCCCCTACCAGAACAAATAGTGTCAACACACTCTTCTGATATGCTAAAAGTGAGATTGGATCTTCACAGCACTATCAAGTGTGAGGATTAAAATGAGTTGATTGGCTTTTTCCCATCAATGAATTTTGATGACGTACTCACATATGGACTATCATCTCCCTCTTGGACAAGCTGTGCCTGATGCATATCTTGAGACCTGCTAGTTGTTACCACTGCCATCTCCTCAGATCACTCAATTAATATATCTCGCCTATTATCTCTGTTTCTTCTCCCTTGCTTACACTTCGGTCCTCTCTCACAATCTTCACTACCAATTAATAAACTTAATTCATCTATATATTACTCAGTTCTGAAATTTTACTCATATTATCATTTTAATTCATCCTTATTACCCTTATTACTCTCCACATTGCAACTAACTGATCTCCGGTTTGGTAATGTGACGGCTGCTAGTATCCAGAAACCCTACTGCCCTGAAACAAACGTTTGATTCAAATCCCGAGACATACAAACTCACAACCAACTGCCAACTGACTAGAATTAGACAGTCGAGTGGCTATACCTCCATCCATTGGACATTACCGAACTCCTGGAACCGTACCGAGAGAACAAGAATCGAGCGCAAAGAAATCAAATTGGTTTACACTAGCTCGTGAAAAAGATATTAGATTTTGGATATTGGATTAGTTGACTGTGGCCTTTATGAAGCTCAAGGTCTTTGGTTAGCTTTCGTTCAGAACTCTCAACAGATGTCTAGCGATATATCAAACAAGGTTCAGACAACTTCACTGGGGCCTGGTGCAAGTAATAAAAGGGGTCCTGTAGAAACAAGCATCCTTGACTATGTTTTATCCTTGCATGGGTCGAATTGTAAGAACCGGGCATCGTTCATAGCTCTGTTGGTTCACTCCGAACTGTTATCACGTGGAGCAAGACCAACCGAAGCTACTGCCCCAACCGCAGTACTCAGTTCTTCTTGTCTTGCCGAAGATCCTATCAGAATATCATACATTTTGATACCAGAGTCCGATACGTTACCAACACCATCCAGTCAAGTATGTATAATTGTTCTGTTTGTATTCATCTTCTGAATTATTGAGCAGTTCAGCTTTTGGTTTAGCTTATATTTCATATCCGATAAACCTTTAAGAGCCTAAAGAGCGCACTTCCAGTATCTCTCACAGGCTATTATAAACCGACTGATTTCCTTGGGCTCGATTCTTGTTCTTTCAGTACGGTTCCAAGTATATGGTCGTGTCCAGTGGATGGTAGGCTAGCCGTTTGACTGCTCTAATCCTAGTCAGTTTGCAGTTATTTATAGATAAGTATGTTCTGTGAGTTGAATGAGTGATACCAGCAGCTATCACATTACCATGACGGAGATCAGAATAATCCCGATTACTGAGGCCTTTTCCTTCATCTACTCATAGGGACTACGTGTATCCAAGTAAAGGTTTATAAACAATATCGTCCGATTAATTTGGCTTCCCACAACATATCTCATTCTTCTCGGGTCAGTTTGTTTAACCATCTTCCAGGGGTTGTATCTTAACGTATGTAAAAAGTGAATTTTCATAGGGTTCAAAAGTTCTGCACAGAAACAGTCTAATCTGAAGGCAGTTTCTTAGATCCTGTCCATCTGTTCAGATAGGTTATAATCAAAGGAAAATGAGCAAGTATGATACCCACACAAGTTTCACGGTGTTCAAACGAAAACTGTGAAAGATAATGGTCAAAATGCTCTGTAAGCTTTGTAGTGGCATTTTAATACTGCTTTTAGAAGCAATACTGAATAAATTATCTTGATGACATGTGACTACCTCCTTGCTAGATTTTGAGGTGTATTTGTCACGCACTTTCAGGTCTAAGACAGGAATCAGTTTTACTCACAGAAAAGTGGTTTGGTTTCAGAACTCAGAACTGAGGTGAGGGTTCAGGATATTATTTTATAAGTAGGTATTATGGCGGCTTAAATGATCTAACTAATGTAAAATTCCATAAGAGCTTCAAAATATTTCAGAAAAATATCGAGCATTGTTTTCATTGTTAATTAACTGGTGGGTTCAGACCACGGCTTTGACTTTAATCAAACTCTTAGTACGAAACGTTGATTATGGTCCATTCACAGGTTTTGTGATATCAGAAAAGATCAACACTCTCCTTGTAGCCCGACCAAGTAAATGTTTTACGCTTAGTTGACACTCCTGACCATTACACTAATAACTATCATTCTCACAGATATTTTCCTGTTAAGTAATGACATTCGGTTTTGTCTCACATTTAGGAGCTTATCGTCCTTCGGTTTTATAATTAGGTGTTTTCAGTTGTTTTGCTAGTCATGTCTGTGAAGAATCCTTGAATTGTAATAAAATCACTGTAAAACTAGTATCAGTCAACGTAAAGCCAGGCCAGTATACACGTTAGTCTATATTACCATACCGCATTAAGATGGTTGATCACATGAGCCTTGGCGACTTTATATCCCTGCTTTAATTCATTGTCGTAGAGTAGACCAATGTCTTAGCTTTTTGATATCTTCTAACATTTCCTATTGTCCAGTTTCCTGTGTTAATGTTCAAGCATTACAGAGTAGTACCATATCAAGGCCACTTGCTTCTGGTTTTTTTTCCATACACTTATCACATACTATGGCTTATGTAAACAGTGTGTAATCTCCTAGTGTTAGTGACTTTCATGCAATGCTTGTTCTCAGTGTAAACAAGTACTTCAGCATATATATGGGTAGTGCTGGTTGACATTTCAGACAATATCAACATGCACATAGTGTTTTTGTTATGCTAACATTTTCTCTTTTATGTAAAGCTGTTTTGATCCAAATTTATATGACTAATTACCTAATTATATATATATATATATATATATATATATATATATATATATATATATATATATATATATATATGAGTTTAAACTTTTACCTCATATGTTATTTAATCTTTAAAAAGCTTCAAGTCTCAGTAGCCGAAACAGATGCTCACATTTTTATCAATGTAACAGACACAACTACTGATAAATTTGGACATTTGGAACTTTCTGGCGTTGAACATGTTTTCCTTGATAGTGTTAATAATTCAACCTACAAAGATGCTAACACTGTATTCCGTCAATTAAACGAACTATTGGACTGCTTTGAAGAAAATCTATGGAAACCAGTCCTTCCATCGCCCCTTTCCTGTCATTCAAATGAAACTGACAGTAAAAGAAATAAGAAAGAATCTCGACCGAACCATGATGATTTCCATAACAAAGTATGTTTTCATTAATAAGTTGATCGTGTTTTTTTGCCGAAAGTGGTATTGTAAATATATACTCTGACTTTACAGAGTAATACAATTATTCTTTGAACTCCTTAGAATAAAATGGATATAGCAAATAACTTTTGGAGTTAACAGTTGTGACTGAGAAAATAGAGTAGCTACCCCCACTAATGTCAATAACAGTTATATGGTATTACGAATTAGGAATTTTTAATCATACAATTCTGATCCACCGACCTGGTAGTATTTTAATTCCTAAAAGACCTAAAGGTGCTAACTTTGACTTTATGTTGGGTTTCCGTTCAACGTCTGGAGCCGGAGCGAAACAAATTTGTGAATTTCCTTGTATTTCAATCTTTTTTTCAGTTAATCTTAACCTTTAACGTACCAATCCTAAAATTCAGACAAGGTGTTTCTCACCTTGTAACTTTGGTCGTTAAAATTTCATTTTCTCCTTGTTATGTTTTTAAGTAAGAATTTATACTGTATTATCTATCCTGTAGTTATCAAACATCAACATAGTTCCGTATAGACTAATTTATGGTAGTCATGGAGAGATTAATTATGTTTGTCAAAATCTCAGTGATTGAACTTTGAGCAAAGTTGACGCTCTGCTTAGCAATCTGATTCACACTCCTTCAATTTTCCTCGATATCTTACATGAAATTCCATACTTAAACACTAAAACTATTCGTTCAAATTTAGACGAAACATTTTAAGAATAAGTTTATTATCCTACAACAAACAAATTTGTATTATTTTTTGTAAATGCTTCTTATCACAAACTAATAAACAGTAGCTTTAAGCTTGTTCTGTTTCTTACAGAAAAAAAAGTAAATTTATGATATGTATTTTAAGTACAGAAAGCGTTGATAGTTACTTGGTAGAATAATATTGATCAGTTGAATATATTCTTGAACTTGTAAAGTTTAAAAGAAGCTACTACTGTTCTTGACTCAACTAATGTCAGTTAAACATTTCTTTTGATACTTTTTCTCAACTACCTAGGCTAAAAATTCTAAACAATTTCATTCCAAGTCTTTCTACTTTATTAATTAGACGAATTAAAGGTTATAAATTACTGTATATTATTTTCGACAGCATCAAAAATGTATGTAAATTGGCTATTTTCTACCAAGGCAGATATGTGAATATGATTTAGCTTTTCATTGGCTTGAATGCCTTAAACATATCGTAAATTACAATTCTTCGGCTACTTGACACTTTTGTTCTCAAAGAAGATAAAAACAACCCAATTTTGATCATTCTTTTATTGTACATTTTGCTCTGTTAATGTAGTCTAACACATTGGTGTCTGGTTCAACATGACTAATTGACTAAAACTTTTTTTTATGTTATTGCTACTACTGTGGTAGTGGTGACTCGGTGGCTATGGAATTTAACTTTTAGCCACTATGTTACAGTCTTAGACACTACTTTGTTCCTGATGGATACTTTAAAATTTATAGAATGCTCACTGCTTATCCACTCATATTGTTATTCTAGAACAATACCTTGACATGTATCAACTTATTTAATAGTTCGTGTTGTAACGCTTGCTTAGTTAATTCCCGGATAAATCTTATTGCTTAGTATTCTTTGACACAAAACACTGGACAAGTCCCCCAAATCAAAACACGGTTGAACAGGAAAGATTATATTCCAAAATAGCAAGGAATAAGAAGCCGGAGGTGATGGCGAAAGCCAAGGCAAAGAAGGCAAGAATAAATACAACGCCAGTCTATTTATAGCCTTTACATGAGAAAGCTTCTGGAAGAAAATTCACGTGATCGGCTGGATTAGATTTAACCAATCAGCATGCAGCTAATAATACGAGAATTTTCTATTCTGTTCTCCAAGCTTCTATCAGGCGCTGATTGGATAGGAATTTAGCCAATCAGCACGTAGCAACGTAGTCGTGCTTTAATTCCATCTACGTCCCACTAACAGTTCGGAATAAATTAGTGTATGTTGACAGCTAGGTTTTATATTTTGTTGGAACTGGACATTTGTGGCTGATAATGTGCTTCGTGAATATTCGTATAATAAATTTTGTTCTGAAAGTTTATACAAACTTACTATCAGCGATTTTGTGTACGGAAAAAGCTAAATAAAGTTGAATTTAAGCTAGTTTATTCTATTGTTTTTAAATTAACAAGTAATCTTCTATCCCCATTTGCAAGCAGTTCCGTTAATTTCTTCTTAAAGTAACAATACTGTCTAATGTTCATACAACATTTGTCGGGTTACTGGCCAAGAAATATAGAAAGATACAACTGAGGGAAACAGTAGACGGTTTATTTACCCAGCTATAAACAGCTGCGTATAACTTTAAATCACATCAGTGATTTTCATGCTAATTGTTCTTCACCCTTTTTTATATATTACAAAGTAACATTCTGTTTTATTTAACCTTATGTAGAATACCTGTTAACTGAAACATATAATTCACTCGAACGCAATTTGAATAAGTGGTCAACTAAAAATTGACCGCCTTACCTACTGATCTACTTTTCTTACTTAGCACTCTATATCTCGTTCCATTGAATACAATCAATAATGTGCTTTAAGCACCGGTTACATTTCAACCGTCTTACGCGTTCGGTGCCACATCAACAGGACAGAACTAAACATAAAAATATAAGTCGATAAATAGATGAGATGGTTTGAATATTTGTATCCTATTTTACTGACGAACCAAGCCCATATGTAAACTAGCGTTTAAATATTATGTTCTTTTGTAAAGGTGCTTGACAGAGCACTTTAACATTTTAAACCAGAGCATTCTTATCCAATACCAGTACGTCGTTTACATGTCGAACATCAATCAGTGACTGATGAAAAAAATGCTCAGCTAGTAGTAGACTCATATTCACGTATCATGTGTTGCACTTATTTTGCAGGTTGGTACTGAACTGGTTTGATTCTAAAGTAACAGGACTACTTAACTAATTATCTAACTACTAATGAGCGCCCTACCTTCCTTTAGCACACTAATTACATTTCTTGAAACTAGACTAGAAGACTCAATATCATTAATTGCTATTGATACACTATTCCTGATTTTATTTATATCTATTTTCATCAATTATTTTTCTGAGCATACGTTGTCCAGTTAAGCAATTTAAGGCATTAGTCAATCAGTTACGATTATGAACGTATCCTAAGAAAAATTTCAATCCTGTGTAGCTTGTTTTTATTGAACAAATATCTAAAATATACTTAACCATTCATATTTCCTATTTCTAGCCACAAATACCCTTTCCAGTCAGTTCTACTGGATCAAGGCCATCAGTTGGAACACCACTGTCGGATTATGGACGAAGTGACCTTGATCCTCTAGCAAGTATTGGAGGGCCATCAAGAGGTGGTGGAATGATCTTAGATCCAAGGCGCATTATACCTGATAGTGGACTTGGTAGTGGGTCTTTTCTTGGTGGACCTGATGTTCTACCTCCTGGTGCAGTTCCTCCGGGCGCTCGATTTGATCCTTTTGGACCGGGCGTGGGACCTCTCAGACCGCATCCTTCAAGTGGTCGTCGCCATATACCAGATCCTGACCACATGATGCCTCCTGGATTCGATAACTTCTATATGTAGGCTTTCCAGAATACTACTTTCCAATCAACTAAGTATTTTTTTTGATCAACTTGATTACTTACAGAATTCTATTATTTTCCTCATAATGTATCAATTCATTTTGCAAATACCACTATGTATATTGCTTTCTTACTGTAACATTTTAAAAGCCTACTGAACATCAACTCTTTTTTTTTTAGAACACTGAATAGTTAGTTATGACCTGTTAGTTAGAACTTATTTATATCTATCTGTAGGTTAATATTAGCTAAGTCGAAATGGTTGTGGGATGTTTGTGATACAAAATTGGAATATTGCATATCAGTTCATTGTTTATCTAATTTTGTTAACTAAGCAGAGGAGTACTGGTGATCATATTGATAAACTGAGTGATAAAATTGATTTTTGCTGAAAATACTTATAAGTAGTGTATGCACCATTAATGACTCCAGATTTTCAGTTTGAATTCGAATCAATGAAATAAATCTAACTGTAATTTGACTATTCACTAAATATGTGATGTAGTTTTGTATGATTTTTGCACATTTAAAAATTGAATAATTTTGTTATGGTAACTGGATTTTGTGTCTAAATTAGTCGTTGTAGCTGAGGGTGTCGGTTCTTGTTGGTGTCTATGAGGAAAACTATAATTTTGTAGACTCCATTGTTTGTTAGCATAGTCGACAAAACAAGGGTAAAATTTGTAGGTTGAGTTGCTGTGAGGCAGACAGTAGCAAACTTAAGTAGCATTTGTGTTTAGTCAGCTCAACGTCACTTCGTCATTCCAATGACTTCTGATGGGAAGTCCACTATTCCATGTGAAATTGGGATCACTATGCAAACTGTGCCTAATTCCTCATTACCATTCGTCGGTAAGTAGAAGCATTGAGTAGCACATAATGTTACTTGGTTTAATAGCCACTATATGCATCGCACCTTAATTTACTGATAATTGCTTCAGAAAAGATTAATATGTCTCTAAAAGCTGACTCCAATCATATCGTAGGAACACCGATTAGAATGCGGAATTTTTATTCCGAAAATTGGTAGTCGTGTCAAAAGGTTTTGGCCCGCGGTCACAAGACAACACATTTCGATAAATGCTTAATCCCAGAGATTCAGTTTGTCTACCTAATCTATACCAATAAGGTTCAAGTCATGTTCGTTCGTTAAGTAGCGATTTTCCAGTAAATAATTATCTTGAAACTTAACAGTATTTTATTATTCTAATATGACTTAATCTCCCGACCGTAGCTGCTACCTTGACGTGGTGGTCGGGCTTGCCTATCGTGATGACCCAACCGAGCTATACTGGCTGGAATATATGTTCCTGCAGGTCCTACCATGCCAGGCTGGTCGACTGGAGAACGATCAGACTAAAAGCAGCTACTCAAGGTCTGAGGGCGAAGTCGTACTGCTGACTGTGATGGAGGGGTGTGACAGCAGTAAGGTGTTTCCCTCGGACAACCAGCATCTGCAGCGATGCTGCCTTCTCACAAGGAAGGAAGGGTTAGTAAAGGTCGGCCCTAAAAATGTCACACCTCCCCTAATTCACGGATTTCCGTCTCCTTGGGTAAGGGTGCCCACTAAGGGCCTTTAAGAACGGAGCAAATTCTCTAAATACCTTTCATAAAAAGGTCGTGCGTGACCGGCCTCAAGCAGTTGTCCCTTGGGCTCTGCGGTCACGCACCAACACTAATCCATCTTCCTTTTCAGGTCCCTCAAGAAACAATCTTCCACGGTGTGGGCAGCCGGGAAGTGATAACCGCCCTCATACCCATAACAGCACGTCTGACTGATGACTTAATCTATCACTGAAGGTATTCGACACTGTGTTTAATAGGTTATACTCGTGGACAGCATATTTTATTCCATGTCTTTTAAAGACAAACGTAATGTCTGCTGCTGTATATAATTAAACTGAATGCGAACACGACTGATCATTCCATAAACCATTTTTTTCAGCTTTATCGAATGCCAGTATGACGTACATACTGTTTTTTTACTAGTTTTGACTTTGATAAAAGGGGCTTCATTGATTGGTCTCAAACTTTTTCTGGCTCCAGTGAATGTTAATTTGTGACAGATTTTATTGAATATGTTACATTTATGTTTTCTGGACCGGAAAATCTTTGGGAAGAAGTGCCAAGCATCATAGTATACTAACAGTTTTAAAAAAATCTCGAATAGCATTTACTACTATTGGTATAATTTTACCATCGACTTGTTTGAATAGTATGAATAGCATATACAAATGGCTCTGTACTTCTGCTCACTAACATAGCAATATCTTGACTCAGGTTTATTAGTCGTCGACATTCTGTAATAACAGTCTGCAGTGTTAGTTCATCGTTGTTTCATACTATTGTAACGCTTCGCTTAAATAATTTCCAGCTAAATCCTATTGCTTAGTATTCTTTGACCATAATACAGTTGACAAGTTCCAAAGAATCAAAAACACGGTGGAACGGGAAACGATTATATTCCAAATAGCAACAAGGTTGAATGGAAATAAGAAGCCAAAGGCGAAAATAAATACAACGTTAGTTTCTTTATAGCATTTACATGAGAAGCTTCTGCATAGTAATTCACATGGTCGACTGGATTAGATTTAGCCAATCAGCATGCAGCTAACAACACGAGAATTTTCTACCCTGTTCTCCAAGAATCGATCAGGCGCTGATTGGATAGGAAATTAGCCAATCAGCGCGCAGCAACGTAGTCATGCTTTAATTTCATCTATGTCCCACTAACACCTCCCGTTTGAGAAGATTCGTAGGATCTGGTGCTAGAGTCCAACTGTTTCCTGGGTGCCTTGCCACCCGTACTCTTACGAGCCGCCTGCTTTGTAGGAACCATATCTTTAAACAACCGTCGATTGGGCTGCTTCCCCATTGATAAGTTTTGTTGACGATCATGAGCAGCATATGGTATAGGGCGTCTCGGACGTGGAACAGGTTTTGCATCTGCTTTCACTGGTAGGTGTGCTTTCATACTCTTACAGCGGCCAAAGCTATTTTGAAATACAGAGGCTGACTTCCTCTTACGTTTGTATTGTAACCTTTCACCTGTCTTCTTTGTAAGTATCGGGGTGTCCAATGATGAACACGATACGCTGCAGACACTTAATGGGTACATCCATTATTCCCAGTTTTTCTAGCATATCTAGATCAAGAAGATCAAGGTTTGGCCGTTCTGTCAGATAGCATATTCCTGTACATTTTGTTCCGTTGAGAGAAAATTCACACTGTATCTCACCAACCAGTTTTAACACACCACTTGAAGCGCTTTTTGCTGTTTTCTTAGATGGCTTCATTGGCTAATTTCCTATCCAATCAGCGCGCAGCAACGTAGTCATGCTTTGATTCCATCTATGTCTCACTAACACATACGAGATAACAAATGATTGCGAAGGTCAAAATCTGTGGGTGGTTTGTTTCAGAAATAAATAATAGGTATTTAAAGTGAAGTATGTTTGTATCAGGGCAGTAGGGTTCGCGGATACCAGCAGCTATCATGTTACTAGGCCGGAGACCAGTTAGTTGCAATGTAGAGAATAATAAAGCGAAAACTCCAATGCTAATAGGAATAAGATTCCAGGACTAATTGTGGTGGCGTTTCGTTCTCTGCGCTGGATGTTTTGGTTGTGGGGCTTTCATTGTTGTTCTTCGGAACAACATCATCGTCACAAACTTCAAATGGAAGTGAAGTATTCCAATTTCTCCATGTTTGAACCGTAGCTTGTCCTGTTAAGTTCAACCTTGATTGGTTGCTGTTCATATTAAACCTGTCGTTGTCTGAACCTTCGTTTCCATTGTATCCCTCTTTTGATCTGTTTTTTGATCCTGTGTTTGCTTACGATTTTTCTGATTGGTTGATAAATTGCGTCAGTGTTTGTGTTCGTTGATTTCTGAGTTCCAAGCTTCTAAAAATTCTCTAGTGTTCTTTGTGCTCCACCTATCCAGTGTTTCGACATTGTTTCAATCGAAAGTATATCTATAGTTGTCCGTATGTATTGAAATAAGCGAATAAATGTCGTGGCGTTTGACTGCTAATTGGTGTTGACGTAAAGGAAGTTGAAGAGGACGTCCACTTTGTTCTAGGTAGTGTTTTTCTCAGATTTTGCAATTTATTTTGTAGATGATATTTGGTTTTTCTTCCTTTGTCATTTTGTCCTTTGGTCTACATAGGATTGATTCTGTTGGTTTGTGTTCTACACCTATTCCAAATGGTCTCAGTAGTCGTGCTGTTTGCTCCGATATGTCTTTTATGCATGATAGGATGATCCGTTTGTTTGTACCTGCAATTGAATTTGCTTCTGTTGATGACTTCAGTTGATGTTTTTTGATGAAGTTGCGTGGATAGCTGTTCTTTTGGAAGATGGTCGTTAGATATTTTTCTTCGTTTTTTGCGCTTCAAGTGTGCTACAGTGTGACTTCGCTCTCTTGAACAATGTTTGTACGCTGCTTATTTTGTAAGTTTTTAAGGTTATTGCTGCTGTAGTTGAGAATTAAGTCTATGTGCGTTGGCTTCCGAAGTGCCAAGTAAATAAATAGATAATTAAATTTATTGATTGGTATTGAAGAATGTGTGAGGACCGAAGTGTAAGCGAAGGAAAAGAAATCGAGATAATAATCTGAGGAAATGACAATAATAACAACTAGCAAGTTTCCGGACACGCATCAAGCACAGCTAGTCGACGAGAAAGATGATAACCCGTAAGTGAATAGGTGTTTACCAAATTTCCTCTTAAAGCTAACCATCGAGAAGACTTTAGTCACTTCGATTGGCTAAACATTCCAATTTGGGACTAAGCATAATGAGAAGAAGTGGGAATGTACCTGGGTGTTTGTTATTTGACGTGCGATTTCTCGAGGGTTACCTCGACGGCCGTGGCGTCGGTATTTTGGCAAGATCAACATGTTAGGATGGTTTGGTACATTTGATTTGTTATACGACATCATCAGATAATCTCTGATCCTCGTGTAATTCAGCTGCAGTAATCCTGTGTTGGAGCCAGTTTCGACTGATTTATTTCTTAAGCCAGTCGGCAATCAAGTTGTTTGTCCGTGCACTCGACTCAGCAGATTTATGTCTCTTTGAAGGAGAGAGGATGCGACGACTTTGTGAGCCTTAAGGTATGGGCGTGCGTTTGTCTTAAAGTGAGTTAAGACCAAGTGCGTGTTGATTGCACCAGTTTGCCTTCTCATGAAGTGGAGAACTACGTTAGCTATGTAGCTGAAACTGATGTCTAGGCTTTATTTGATTTTAGACCAAAATCGTGCCTTGAGCAGACATTAAAGAGCGGGCTTTCATCTGGGGTATATATTGTTTGCGTCAAGTGAGGCAGTGTTCATAACGCGAGATCTTGGCTAGTTGAGATTCAAACCGTTTTCCACTGCCCATCTGATGTAAAGTCTTTTTGAAGCCCATCTGAATTCCCTACGCTTCTTATGGACTTCCAGGTCTTTGCATCGTTTGTGTATATTAGTCCTCTTTAGTTAATTTTGGATAACAAATCATTCATCAAGGTCAGGGAGAGCAGTGGACTTAAGATTGCACCCTAGTGAAAACC